AGTCCTGGTGTTTCTCCCAGAGCTTTCTCCCATTGAATTTCTCCCGACAAGTTTAATTTGCTTAATTAGTTTAACTATTTGCTATTAGTTAATAATCTCATAGATCAACCATTTTTCACTTATTGTTTGCTCCACAGAATTGATAAATTAAAAGGTTGTACCAGTCCCTGAGAGACAATACCCGGATTTCCGATTTTACTACAAGATAGGAATTGAAGCATTACGCTTTTGCCCTATCAACTGGAATGAGGAGCGTGGGAGACAAAGGTGCGAAGGCGGTTACTATGAATACGGGGACAAGATCGGGAAGAGAGAGAAGCTCAGGACGGCAAAATCAAATCTCAAACTACAACGTCGCAAACTTACCTTTTTTCTCTCTAGTTTCGTAGAACTGCTCTTTCAAAGATCTCCTTTGCTGAGTGTAGATCGTTATCGTAGTTGTAGTCGCGGAGCTCTCTAGAGAAACCTACATAGGAGTAGAGGTAACGTAATGTAGAGGAACCGAAGGCGGTTACTATGACTTCAGGGAGAAGATCGGGATATAAAGATCGGGAAGAGAGAGAAGCTCAGGACCGCAAAATCAAATCTCAAACTGCAACGTCGCAGACTTACCTTTTTTCTCTCTAGTTTCGTAGAACTGCTCTGTCAAAGATCTCCTTTGCATAGTCGTAGATCGTTATCGTAGTTGTCGTCGCGAAGCTCTCTAGAGGAACCTCCACAGGAGTAGAGGTAACGTAATTTTGATCCTTCTTGTTTCCTCGTTGTTCGTTGAACACCCTCGTTCAAACGTAGTTTGGAGAGGTGGTGAACCGAATAACGGTTGTTCTTGGTTAGAAGTCAAAGGTGCATCGATCAAATCAACATCGCCCGACACTCGGCGGTGGATATTTGATGGTCGTCTTGGTTTCTGTTTAATCGATCTAATCAACAGTGCCGACATTCGCCAGTGGATATTTGACGGTTGTTTGATTTTGTGTTTCCTTCAAAACAGAGCGCATTAAACACACGAATTTCGCCAAATGCACTCACTATTTCGAGCATGCACTCACTTTTTATATTAATCTTAACCATTAAGTATATCTTACGGCTAAAATTATTTAGCAAATAAATAATTAACTAATACCAAATATATTATTTAATATTTAATTAAAAAGTACAAATTTGATAAAAATTGCAGTTAGGCCCCTCGTAATTCCTTCACTCCTACCGCAACAATTTCACACCCTTGTTTCTTTCCACCAGAACAATATAATGCCGCCGGCTTTCTGCATAACAAGCAGATTGGCTGTAAAAATAAAAGAGAGCCGTTGAATCTCAATATGACTAAGACCCCGAACCTTGCATGAGAACATTATTCTAGGTGTCTTGGACCCATCCAATCACATACAATTAGTGGCGGAGGACCCTGTCCTCTTTTCGAATTATAAATATATAAATATTTAATAAGTATAATTAAATTAATAATATTTAAATAATTTATTTTCATATATAAAAGATAACGACTAATACAATCGGTATTTTCATAAACAACCATGACGAGTTTTCATATTATGAAATAAACACAAAATGCATTCATTGTCTACACTATTAAGTAAGTCCTTTTCAATGGATCTCTTTAAACAACCAGTAGCAAACTAGCCGTGAATTCGACTTCGAAGTTCGTTCTTGATACAGCTTAAAGTTGCAAATATATTATCTACACTTGCCGTCAAAACTAGTGGAATCTGCGTTGCCACTGGATTGCTTCAAGATTCTGGCAAATCATTGAATAACATATGAAGAAAAAATATCTATTCCAATTGAGATTTCGTTTGTAGTATAATAAATTAATTTAATGTCATTTATAACCAAGTAATGAGTTGTGATATAGTGACAAAATACGTTGTATTGGTGTTGTGTTCCATCCTTAGTATAAACATATATGGAGTATTTTTGTCACTCCCAAAATTTACCCCTGTCCCGGAAAAATGCCAAACATGGCTGCCTCCGCCATACAATATGGGCTAGGTGGAGACTGATGGATTCGATTACTAGCCGGAAGCTACAATGTGGCCACCAGCAACGGAGACGACAAATTTTGAGAACGCACAGTGAAAATTGAGAAGCGAAACAAGGATCGGAATAGGCAAGAACTTGAATTGACTGATCTTTCGAACATGATATTATACTCTAACCTTTAAAGATCAAAATATAGGTTTTAATTCTCTAAATCTTATACCCCAATATCAATTTAATTAGAAACAATTATGATTCGTCCAAATATAGGCAAAAAAATCAATGCACCATCTTAGGGTTTATAGTTTATGATTTAGATGATTATGACCTAGGGTTAACTCATTAAGGGTTAGGATATAGTATCATGCCCAAAAATCCTGCTAATTCGAGGTTTATCTAGCGTTTTCATACTTAAGGTATGTGGTACCCCGGGTGAAATCCGGGGTACCACATACCTTAAGTATGAAAACAGTATGAAAACGCTAGCTAAACCTCGAATTAGCAGGATTTTTGGGCATGATACTATATCCTAACTATATATATTGTTATGTCACTCACTTTTTTGGGTGCATTCAATGCACCCGCCTTATAATCGTCATTCTGAGCAGGCGATTGAAAACGATGTCAATCATTACTTGTGGTATGATTAACAAGAACCACATCAATTTGTAAAAAATCATTCAAGGTTCACTTTAATTTATTTGATTTAGGTTTTAGGAATTGAGGGTTAGGGTTTCTAATTTGGGATTTTGGATTGGGATTCAAAATTGAAGGTTAATAGGTTAGGGTAATGCATTGATTAGTTGTGATTTTGTGTTATATCATCATATTAGAATAATGCTATCCATTAATTTTCAAACTTTGGTGTATTATGATCACTTTTAGAGTTGGGTGCATTGAATGCACCCAAAAAAGGGCTCAAGATAGGGTGCATAACCTTATGTGCATAACTATGAGTAACCAAATATGGACCCTTTTTAGTTTTTTTAAGTGGTTGCAGATCTAAGGGTGGAGAATTAAAATTTTTTATTTTCCCTAGTTTTATTCATTGGATCATATCTTCTTCATTCTAACTTGGATTTCATTTTTTTTTTTTGCACAGATGGAACTAGTTCGTTGTGCTCTACAAAATGATATCCATTATTAATATTTTTTGAGGAACATAACTCTCGTTACCAACTCCATACCATATGGTATCTCCTTCGTTTTTAATCATTTTCGGAATTTTTTGCACAGAAGGAACGATTTAATCATGATCTATTGGATTTCAAAATTTTCTGGGGGAAAAAATTTCATACATCTTGTTACCAACTCCATACCATACAATACCACCCTGGTAGAGCCCGCCGAGAATGCTAGGTGGGTGCTCTGTTTCGTAATTGCATCGTAACCCAACCATTAATGTATTCTAATAAAAGATAAACAACATCTGGAAAAGACTCCTTACATTAGAATGCAAGAGAAACCCAACAATCAAATCCTCCCAAAGACCCACAGAACAACTGTAATTGCACAAAAGATAGAAATTGCAAAACCTTCAACAATCATTTCTATAAAGCCCACCATTCTGACCATTCTCCTTCAAGTTACAAATCGATCCCGTCTTCGAGCACTGCTCCTGTCTTGGCTCGCCGTCCTATACAAACCAGTTTCCCACCACAGCCTCATCCCCTCCGGCTACTGCTTCTCGGGCCAGATCCCTTCTTTCACCCTAACCTCCGCCCACTCCAAGGCAACAACTTCTCCGGCAATCCCCAACCTAATTTCCACCCTTCCCTTCCCTCACCCTACTCAACGTCCCTTTCAATTGCTTCTCTGGTCAAATACCCGATCGCTTGATTGGTGCCCCTCTTTTACCGGTATTGACCTCACGACCGACCGTCTCGAAGGAAAAATCTCCATCGCTTGCCCAGTTGATTGCACATGCTTATCAGTTGTCTGAGATAGAAGAAACGAGGACCTAATTGTAATAGATGTATTTATTGTATTGTAACTTGTAGGTTTATTAGGTTCATGTAGTAAATAGAACTCTAGCATCTCTATTATATATACATGAATGTAATATGGATAATGTAACTTTTTACGCGTTAAATGCAATCTTCCACATGGCTTCTCCGCTGATCAACATGGTATCAGAGCGGGGGACGACATCGTTTCCGTTTCTTGAATTTTTTCCAGTCTTCTTGGTGACTCGCTACGACACAACACCTAACAATGGCCAAGTGTAACCAATGGAAGGGACTGCAGTATAGTGGCTCAAGTGATAAATATCGAATCCACGGGTCTCTAGAGTTACTATTACTCAACTTCTGTTTATTATTTAGCAAACCAGATTAAGATGAAAGAACTAAAACTACTCTAGCAAACTACAGTTAAAGTTAATCTAATTACAGGTTGGGAACTCACTTAGGTATGATTCCCCCTAGCCACTAGCCATACTAACGATTAATTATTTCTAACTTGTTTCACTTTCATTCACAATGCGGAGAATCCTTGACTAGACCTTGAGTCTCGACTAAAGGAACAAGGCCCTCTTGAGTCAATTGCCTAGAGGGACGTATCCTTCTCTAGAACAACTGATCAAGGTGTTCTAAACTAGACTCCCTCTATCAAAAGAGGTTCTCAATCGATACAAAGCAGTGAATCAACCCTCGACTAAAGCAATCGATCCACTACTATCAATCTATGGTGCTCTATTGACCTAATCAGGTATTCCCTCTCATAGGATCAAAGCAGAATCAATAATCTCGACTAAAGCAGAATTGAATCATGAAAACATGCATAGATTGAATATGAACTCAAGATTATCAAGTCAGAGTACTCATACAATCATCCAATCAAACAAACATAGCTAGGGTTCCTCAAAACCTAAGTGAAGGGAAGTTACTCCATAGAGAAGAGAGAGACTGCAGTAAGAATCTTCAGATGATCAGTCTTCAAGTCCGGGCTTGTTCCTCGAGCTTCCAAGGCAAAGAAATCCTCCAATTCCATTCTTAGAATGCCCTCAGATCACCCTTTCTCTCTTTCGTTCGTCCCTTGGGTGTTTGGGATCCAAAACCCAGCTCTCTCTCTCCTTTGGCTCGAATTTGGGTTAAAAACCCGATTCTGGGCAAAACACTGTCGAGGGCATGGTCGTGCTTTGCTTTTGCCCGCCCGTGTTTTGCCCCGTGTTAAAAACACGCCCGCGCGCGTCGGCCTAAACACGGTCGTGCCTAAATATGGGCACGGCCGTGTTTTGATTTAGGCGCGCCCGTGTTTTTACTGCCGAACCTGTTCCCCTATATTCAATGCTTCGTTTCTCCCTCGTACGGACTCCGAATCAGTCGCCGTTTGATCCCAGACGCCCGTAGTCTCGTCCTCTTTCTTTTCATGACAAGCTTGCATGATTCTTTGTCCATAAAGTGAGGTAGAAATCCATTATTCTTCAGGTCATGCCCGAGTTTCTTCTCCCTAATCGCCAATTGATCTCTGATTGACTTGAAACATGTGCCTATGCTTCACTTTATGTGCTAGGACCTGCAATGTGACAAATGAACACAACCTAGCATAAAATAGGCCAAAGACGCGATAATTAAAGCTCAAACGATCAAGAAACAAAGGAGAAAACATGTGCAAATATCGAGTCATCACTTGGCCTTTCTTTCATCGACGAAATCCCCAGAGAGAACGAACATCTCATTCTAATCCTCTCTGTGCAGGTCTTCTCAATTGTTTGATCCAGTCTGTTTCATTCATCTTCCGCTCAATTTCACTGTTCCGATCAGTTCGCACATCGACGATCGTGTTTTCCTAACTCTATTGATCTTTCTTTCATTCGATTCTCAAAAAAGCTAGATCTATCAATGCCAACTTTCTTAACGATCTCGGCGAAGTCTGGTCCTCCACCAATCAGCTCCTCCGCCGGTGCTACCTCTGCTTTGTCTTCGTCTTCGATTCCGGCTTCGCATCCTTACTTCATCTCAAATGGAGATCTCCTGTCTCTCCAGCTGGTGACTGCACCACTTGTTGGCGCGAATTATCATTTGTGGGCGTGTTCTCTGCGCATGGGCTTACAAGTTCGCAACAACTGATTGATTCTCGTGTTCCGGTTCTGACCCGCGATGATCCTCTCTGGACGACGTGGGATCAGGAGAACGTCTTAGTTCTTGGATGGCTTCAGCGTTCAGTCTCGCCTGAGATAGCGCAGAGCGTGCTCTGGTTTGATACCGCAGTCAAAGCTTGGGAGGATCTCAGAGAACGCTTCAGCGTAGGCAAAGAAGTAAGAATCTCAGATCTGTATGATGAGATTTCGTCGCTCAAGTAGGCCGTCTTGTCTATCAGTGCCTATTTCACCAGGTTCAGGATTTTTGGGAAGAACTCCTGATTCTAAGGCCTTTGCCCTCATGTTCTTGCACTCCTCTTTGTGCCTGTGTTGCTGCTTCTCTTCCTCGAGAGTATATGCGTTGTGATTAGGTTATCTGGTTCCTCAAAGGCCTCAATGAGCATTTCAGTGCTGTTCATTCTCAGTTCTTAATGATGGATCCGCTTCCCACAATGAACAAGGTGTTCTCTAGTTTAGTACAGCAAGAGAGGCAGTCTGGTAGTCAAATTGAAGCTCCTATTGCTCTGGCCATTCAAGGCCGTGGAGGTGCTAGTTCCAGTCGTGGTAATCTGACCTCAAGTCAAGGTCCTGAAGGTACTAGTTCTCAGCACGGTCAGGCAAGTGCTGCACAGAGTCATGGAGGAGGGCGAAAGAGACCTCTCTGTACTCATTGTGGTCTCTACGGCAACACCATTGATCGTTGCTATAAGCTCCATGGCTATCCGCCAGGTTATAAAAGCCGCTGCTCATGATGTGACTTCTGATCTGGATTCCATTGCATCAGATGATTCTAATGGTCAAGGGTCTATGACCTTGTCTCGAGCTCAGTATCAATCGCTCCTCAACTAGACTCAACCAAGAAATCAACAACCTACTTCTACTGCCATGGCTAATTTGATCACCACTCAGGGCGATTCATCTCAGACTGGGATGACTACTTCCCCATATATTCCCACAACTGTCCTCTTCAAATTCCAACTTAAATTCCCAAGTCTGGATTGTTGACAGTGGTGCCACAGATCATGTGGCTTCTAGGTTAGAATTGTTCCATTCATATCGTCCTATTGATAACTTGAACGTTTCTTTGCCAAATAGTCTTAGAGTTAAAGTCACTCATGTTGGCACTATTCATGTAACTCCCAATTTAACCCTTATGTTCATTCCGGATTTCACTTTCAATTTGATTTCAATATCAAAACTTGTTAAAATGTCTAAATGTACATTAAAATTTTACACAAATCTACACATAATATAATACACCGAAGGGAAAAACGGGAGCCCCATTTCAAATTTCCTGCAACGAGAGTGAAAGTAGGAAGGACATTTTGGTCTTCACAATTACTTTTTTTTATTCATTAAAAAGACACGTACTGGGATTCGAACCATGTCCATTTTAAAGAAAAGCAAGGAACATAACGTACATTTGTTGTATCCTTTTAAATCAAAAACATATAATAGCAGGGAGGAAAAACCTCTTCCCCCCATTTCAAATTCCCTGCTCCATGAGCGTTTGTAGGAAGGGTAGAATAGGTAGTGTTAATTTTTTTCTCTTTCCTCTGTGGAACGGGCCAACTTACCGTACACATGCGGATTTAAACGGGTTCAGGAGTGTCAATTTTTTTCTTTAAGCCCTTGTATTTCTCCGTGGTGATCAAATATATATGAAAAGGCAAAAACAATACTTCTTTTTATGCTAAAAATAAAAAAAAAATTAACAATAAACTAATGCATGGTATCTAAAGGGCTAACCGCTAACCATAAAATAAAAGAGTTGAATGGGCCTGACCTACACCGGATTTGGCCATCAAGTAAAACAAATGAACATCATTGGTTTGACATTCTAAAACAAGCTATTTTCTCTAGCATAATATATATTATTATATTATTTTATATTTTAGTGGCTAAAATATAATGTAGTTTAAAGTTATTCAATGGTTCAATCTCGACCAACCCAATTAGTCCAATTTTTATCATTTCAAATATATATTATATAATTATTTGATATCATAATGATAAAATTATAGTGTATTTTATAGGGAATCGTTTGGTATTTGTTAGTAAAAAAACTAAACAGAAAGATCTATTTGGTTATTTTAAACATTAAAACGATCCTAAACATTTTCAGTTTCTTTTGAATTTCTATGGTTTTATTCCCGAATAAGTGATGTGCAAATGGCGAATTGCAGTCATCTATTTTCTTTCACTATTTTTTATTTTCAAATAGAAAGTTTAAAAGTAACGAATAATTAGAATTTTGCATGGGTCGGTCAAACAGGCTGAATTTTAAGTTTTGGCCCGTTTTGATCAAGTCTAATTTATAATCACATGGTTCCCTGATACCCGATAAAAATCTCAATCCAAACCAGTTTGGCAGGTGAGTCCGTGTTTACCACCATTCTCTAGGAATACGACAACGGCGGTTCCTATCCCAAATCGTGTTGTTCGTTCTTGATTTCCTTAGATTTTATCATGGCCTGACAAAAACCAGAAAGCACAATGACGACAAGATGAAAGTTTTATAAATCAAATTAATGGTGTTCTCTTTCTGATCTCATGTAATTATATAATGAAGTTGAAGTTTTTCGATGCTATTCAATTTCATTGGTATGTTTTTAATGGTCTAACTTCATGGTTGTACTAACTTTTGATGTACTGTTTATGTTCCAATATATTCACTTTGGTATGATTATTAGGGATATGCTAGGTGGTACTCACCATTAGACCAATTTAGCTTAATGGTTGAATCTACGGGTTATCCCAATAATTCAATATTCCGCTCAGCTCCTCCGACCAACGGGTCGGGTTACAAGCTAGTTCTTGTTTAATACAGGGTCTTTCGTCCCACGAAACGATTTCTACAGCTAAACATGATTATGGTCTCTATCTTCTCCAAATTCCTTCTAGTAAGGCTCACATCAATCAATGTACTGTTTATTTCAATATTGCTTTAGTGTCTTTTGATCTATGGCATTATCGTCTTGGTCATACTTCATTACCTCTATCCAAAGTGTTAGATTCTTCTGTCAAGTTTAATACTAAACATGATAGAGTTCACTGTTCTGTCTGTCCTCTTGCAAAGCAACGTCGTTTGTCATTCCTTTTAGTCTTTCTCAATCTCAAACGCCTTTTGAACTATTACACATAGACATCTGAGGTCCACATAATTCTTCAACGATTGATGGATTTCGATACTTTCTTACTTGTGTGGACGATTGTTCTCGTCACACTTGGATATATCTTATGAAAACAAAAGGTGAAGCTAGACAGATTCTGCTCAACTTGCCTACATATGTGAAAACACAATTTTCTGCCCAAATAAAGATCATAAGAACTGACAATGGTAAGGAATCTATATCTATCTATATCTATATACTTAATATTATGGTTATTCAAAAGTAAGTTCTTGCCACATAAGCACTTGGTGAATTCACAAGATGCCAAGGTGGACAATTTTTTTACAAACAAAAATTTATTTATTGATCTATTTATGAAGCTATCTCTCTCTTCTTTTAATAATTCTACTCATTTTTACTAAAACTTAAAATAAGTTACATTTTTGTGAAACATTTAAACAAACAAACACATAAGTAATATATTTTTTTTTCAATTAAACAAACTATAAAGATGAAAATAGAGAGTGACATATATCGTGTTTGTTTAACCCAAAAATATCTTATTAAATCTCATTAAGTAAATTTTCTATTCGTTTTTATATTATAATAAGTTAAATTTTGATGGAAAAAAACAAGCACACATATGAATAATAATAATTTTTCAATTAAAAAAATTTATACGATGGCCTAAGAGAAAATAAGTATTTGACAATCAATCGACTTTGAAAAATGAACTATATGACTATATATTTTTTTGCTATCAAACACTCAATTCTTCCTAATGCATATACTTATAAAATAAAATAAAAAGAATAATTTATATAGAAAAAAGAATGATGTTAAATTTGGCAGAGCAATAATTGTTGTTTTTTTGAAACACTTCTTATTCATTCAGATTAAATGAAAACATATTAATTATAAATGCAACCTTTTAATTTATCTCTACCATTTTCCTATTTTGATTGTCTCTATAAATAAAATCCAAATATTGAAAATAAGAAATTAGATAGAGAATGAGATGGTAATGCACATGAAGTTTTATTTTTCTTTGTAGGATAATAGGAGGAGGGAGGTACACGAGGCAACGACCATATGGCAAAATTTTGAGCAGTTGTACATATTTTGTTTGTTGATGAAAACTGTTCATCCTATCATTACGAAGACGAGGTGAACCAAACCTAGGATTGTCGGCTGCTCCCTCTTCCTCCTTGATCTGAAGCTGGCAACTGCTCACTCTTCTTTCCATTCTTTTCTTAATTTCTTCCAAATTAAGACTGTTGGATGGTAAATTTCCCCACTCGATGAGCGAATTTATTTCTTCTTCATTTTCATGAAGTTGTTTTTACGTTCTCTATTACGTCTTATACTAATAGGTAATATATAATTAGAAGGGATAATTGATTGGACTTAGGGCATATCTCCTTTGGTTGAATAATTGATCGTTTTCCTTAAATGGCTATTGCAACCCGATTGCTTAGATGTTGAAATGGAAAGTAGAGTTGTTAGGGTTGTTCATTATATTCTTTATGTTCATGATTGACATGCTACTAGCTAGCTATAAGATGATGATATGGTTAGTAATTAGTAGGTAGCAAAGAGATTATAGTAGAAGGGACCATAATTGGAGTTTTTATAAAGGTCGTGAAGAAGAAATAAAATGATGGTGGTGGTTCCTCGGTTGCGTATTTCGATGTTTTTTCAATTTCTACACGTTTGCAATGACATTTGTTTGTTTCATTAGGGTGGATTTTTTCTCATTGAATCACTAACTAAAGTTAGATTTTGACATGATTGTTTTTTACCAACTACCATTTGGATTGGTGCATAAATTCAGTTCACAAATTAGGAATCTGCAAGATAGAATGAGTTGAGTTATATTGAAGTAATCCTTTCATTATTTGTCTATGTTGTTATTAGGTTAAAAAGCACAAGTATTTTTGCATGAGATATGTAGCTCTCTATAAAATATAAATTGTGTTGATATGCAGTTTAGTTTACTGAAAATATTGTTTTAATAAATAAGTGACAACTGATTATTCTGTTTGTGGTTGGTTTTGTTAGAACATTGCCAAGATAAATTAAATGAGTATGCGAAAGATTGATGGATGTGGATGCTAATGTGTTTCATTATTATTCCAGAATTGCAGGTGTAACTGATAATACACGATATTCGAGGATCTAGATCGGAATATTCTCTATTATCGTATACGGACATATGAGAAGGAAAAGAAAATGAAAAGCTCTTAGCTTATTTTTTTATATTAATTGATGCATATCTTCTTATTCAAAATTTTTTGTTTGTGGCCTTAAATTTTTTAACTTCTTTATCACTTATTTTAGTTCAATAAAAAAAAAATTAAATCGATAAAAAAAATCTAAAGAGAGCTCAGTTAATACAATTAAATTTTTCATAAATAAAAAAAGATAAAAGTATGAAACATTACCTAAAATAAGGTAAGTGAGATTTACAATTACTTGTACATTAGATCAACAAACATAAATAATAATAATAATAATATAATAAATTATAAAATAACCAAACATAATGCACATGCACCGCCCAACGGGCGGGTAACAAACTAGTTGAATATACCTTCTTTCTATTCCTCTTTTGGAATCATTCATCAAACTACATGTGTAGCTTCCTCTCAACAAAATGGTCGTGCTGAAAGAAAGCACCAATACATTATCGCTGTTGCGAGAGCCTTATTATTTCAAGCCTCTCTTCCAATAGTGTTTTGGGGTTTTGCAGTCATGCCTTCTGTCTACATCATTAATTGTCTTTCTTCCCCTCTTTTACAAAACAAAACTCCCTATGTGATTCTGTTCAAAACAAAACCATCCTACGAAGATTTTAAAGTGTTTGGGTGTCTCGTTCATGCGTCTACATTACAGCACAATCAGCCTAAATTTGCTCCAAGAGCAGATCCTTGTGTTTTCTTAGGCTTTCACTCTTCTATCAAAGGCCACATATTGTATAATCTAGCTTCTCATGACATTTTCTTCTCTAGGGACATAGTATTTCATGATCATGTCTTTCCCTTGCATGATTCTGTTAACAAACCAGAGTTTGATTTTTGCTTTCCCATTATCGAAGTTCCTGACACAATATGTCTGGATCCTACAAG